GCTGCCCCTAGACTCTTAATTAGTTGCTCTTTATCCAATTTTGCCATCCTTCCCCATTCTATTCTGCACACTATCACCATATAAATCTTCTCAAAAGAAGATTACTTTTGTCAGGATATTCTGTTTCTCATAAACCTTCAGTGGCTCTGGGGTGCATAAGTGGGATGGGCCTGTAGAGGTCATCCCATGGAGTGTGCACTGATCTGCTCTGGTCACCCCTGGGAAAACATGCGCTCGCTTCAGAAGGACTTGTATCTTTGGAATGACACAATAAACCCTAGATAATCTCTTGGTCCTTTACCATATGCTGGCTGAAAGAAAGACAGGCTACAAATAGGATTAGTAACTAACTAACTAACCCAACTAACCCATAAGAATGGCCTATCAGTGGCCTTTAAAAGGGGACAACTCTGTCTCACTTCTTCATCTGTAGGTGGCATCATGTAATTCTAGGGTTTTTCATGGGGCCTTCTCCACTCTGGCAACATGGCAACTACTCTCATCTGGCAACTAGAGCCAGAGCTCAGCTAGGGTCCCCCAGCTTTCTTGAAGGATTTGTATTTTCTTCCTTGAACATAGGTGACCAAACACTGATCCTGAGATGGATATGCCTAGATTTAGAAGCACACTTGTGATTTAGAGAGGTCAGAGTTCCTGGGTTCCTCAGTGGGGGTGAGAGACACTACGGAACATTCCCACTACATCTACTACAGAGCTTTTTGGAGAAAATGAATGTAGACAGGAAGATGAGCCCAAGCCCCAGCCTCGCTTACCAAAGGACACGGACCTGGAAGGAATTGTTTAGACAGGGCAGAGGCAAGGCAGAATGTAAAATGCTTACTTTTACATTCTTACTGCAAATGCTTACTTTGCAGTGCTACATAATTTCCTGATGTTTTAAGTATCAAACTGTCTGAAGAGAATAATATTGGTTATGTTACTACTGCTGCTTAAGTTTTTATGTCAATGCATGCTTGTAGGTCTTATACATATCAAGCTGGGTTTTTTTGTTGTTTTGTTTTGTGCAGAGGAAGTAAATAGCTGCTCTATACCTGACCTAAGCTGTACCTTGAGCATTTTTCTACTTCTCCTTTTGGGAAGACCAAAGATATGAACTAAACCTACACTTACAGTAATTTTTCCAGGATTCCAAGGTCAGGGTTTACAGAGCCAAAAAGCATTAGGAAAAGAAGGAATCTGACCCTCAATTTTTGTGTTCAGGCACCTCTAGGGATGAATCTGGTTCACAAATGTGTAAGCCCAGAGTTGAGAGAGGGCCTTAGTAAAGAGGGAGAGAGCACACCAGCAGTTTTCTTGTTATATAAGGAGAATATACATGGAATGAAGTTCCTTGGATTTGACAAGGTCACTACAAGGCATTAAGTGATCACTTTTAGAAAAGTGGGAGGAAGGAAGCGAGACTACAGAGAGTTAATGGAGGGACTGGGTGGTGAGGAAATAGAGACACTGCTTACCAACTTGTTTAAGATGTCTGGCAGAGAAAGCAAGAAAAGAAATTGGGTAGCAGCTAAAGGGCAAAGTTGTAAAATTAAGAGTCAGGAGTAGCTAATCCCTAAGGTGCCTTATAGTTTTAACATTCCGTGAGTCTCTGCAGGATGGCGCAAAAGCTATGTCCAATATCAAATATCTCTGATAAAGGTGATACACCAGATATATAGATAACTAACAGAAATATATGTCCGAAACCCATTCTCTAATAGATAAGTGGTCAAAGGATGTAAATAAATAATTCTCAAAAGAATTACAAAATATTAATAACCATTTGAAATTCTTCCAAATAACTAATCATCAGAGAAATGCAAATAAAAAACCATGAAGTTTCACCCAACTCCCAGGAAATTGATAATGATGGTAAAAATGAGAATAGTCAATGTTAGAGAGATTATAAAAAGATAGGCACACTAATACATTACTAGTGGATTTAGGAATTGACACAACCATTCTGGAAGGTGATTTGGAATTATAAAAATAAAGAGACTAAAATATCTATACCTTTCAACTCAGAGATTTCACTACTAGGCATATAGCCTAAAGAAGTTATTGGGCCAAAAATATATATAAATATTTATAGCAACACTTTTATTGTAGCAAAGAATTATAAACAAAGTAGATGTCCATCTTTAGGGGAGTATCTAAACCACCTGTGACACATGACAATAATGTAATATTATTATGTTGTAAGAAATGATGAGTGCTATGAATAAAGGAAGTATGGAAAGTCTTATAGGGATTGATGCTAAGTGAAGTAAGCAGGGTTGTGAAAACAATATATCAAGTGACTGTACCAATGTTAATGTGAGGAATAAAAATCACAAACCAATTGATACTGAATGTTTTGAAATAATAAAAAATAAGCTTAATCCTCAAAAAGGAGATACAGGGGGACATCTCTCCCTATTCTTTTGCAGAGGCTGGGGTTCATAGGTATGGAACACTGCATATAATGTCAGCTTTTTTTTTTGATGTGATGATTGGTTTAAATGATTTTTTCTCCTCTTTTTTCCATTTTCAAATCTCTGTTATAAGAGATAGCTCTTTGGGAAAGGGGAGGAGATGGAGACAGGGGGAAAATTAAGCAATGAAAAATCAAAATACACAAATTTTTTTCAAAAAAATGAAGTTATTTCAAGAGGGAGAGATGTGTGCATGTGTGAATAACTTCTGATATTCACTAATTAAGTGACCCTGGCCAAATAACAATCTCTCTGAGACTTAGTTTCTTCATCAGTAAAATGAAAGACCTGTGGTACTTACCTCAGAGGGTTATTATGGGATCAAATAAGATAAAGTTTCTAAAAAACTCTGCAAACCTTAAATTTCTAAATCTGAGATTCTATGATTTATCCTGTATATACTTATGTGTTTATGTATATATGGACATGTGTGTTATCTCCCCAGATAATATGTAATTTCCTTAAGAGTAGAGGTTGCTTTATTCTTTTTTGTTTTATCCTTAGCATCCTGTTGCTGGGTCTAGAACATTGTCATCTTAATAAATTCTTGCTGAAGGGTAGACGTGATGGCAGGGGCCTCCAAGGTCATCTAATCTAACTTCTTCATTGCACGCTTAGGGAAATGGAAACCCAGAGAGATTAAGTGAACTGTTCAAGGTCACACCGGCCCTACCTATAGGTGGCAGAGCCAAGATTTCAACCTGCATCCTCTCGTTCCAAATTCAGCACCAATTCTACTCCCTTCCAAATGCAAGTAATTATCAACACTACCCTTCCTTCCACCCCTTACTCTGAGAACTATAACCAAAGAAACATTAGCATTGCCTTGGGAGAGTGTGTGCTAACAGATGGGTCATTTATTCCAGTTACCATCTGAGGCACTCCCAAGAACAAAGCACTCTTGCACTGACCCTTGATCACTTGTTTGGGTTTTGATGGCTCAGAGTAAATGTAGATAGCAATTGTTTCTGTTCTGGAAAGAAACTCTGAGGGTCTTCCCCTTGTAGACTGATTCTTTTATGAAGACAAACTAGTCCATCTTTTGCCTCAATTCCTACCTAGCCTTTAATTACTGAATGGGTGTTGGTCAGACAAACTGAGAACTAAGAAAGATCTCAGCTTGAAAAGGCCAACATCTCTTACTGCATCTGGGGCCATCACTAGTTATCCTGATCTATATCATGCCATTGGACTTCAATGATTCTGGAGGCTGATGACTTTGTACAGCTCTGCCTCACTTAAATCCAATTCACTTGCAAGTCAAGACATCACCCTTCTGATGTCATTGGTCCTCTTTGAGAACAAAGGATTAATAACAACAATCTGCCCTAGCCATCATTCCCTTCTTTGTGTTGTCTCCCTCTATTAGAATATAAACTCTGCTGACAGGCACCATCTTGCATTTTGCATTTGTATCAACAGAGCCTGGAAAAATGCTTGGCACATTGTTATTATCATTGTTTAGTAGTTTCAGTTATGTCCAATTCTTTGTAATCCTATTTGGGGTTTTCTTGTCAAAGATATTGGAGTGGTTTGCCATTTCCTTCTCCAGCTCATTTTACAGATGAGGAAAACTACAGCAAACAGGGTTAAGTGACTTGCTCAGGGTCACAAAGTTAGTAAGTGTCTAAAGCTGGATTTGAACTCAGGTGTTCCTGACTTTAGGCCTGGCACTCTATCTACTGTGACACTTAGCTACCTTGGCACACAGTGAGTGCTTAATAAATGCTTTTTTGTTATTGTTCATTAATTCAGGAGGGAAAGGAGTCAGAGGGGCATAAAGGGATTGAAGACACTGGAAAGGGGGGATACCAGCAGTAGTGAGATCTCGGAGTCATAAGGGGATGAGGTTAAGGGTTATGTTTGAGAAGAGAAAGGACCACTGTTCCTCTGGGACCAATGGATGTAGGATGATGAGGAGATGGAGAGAGGGGACAAGGGTGCATTGAGGTTAAGTCACAGGTGGCTCAGATTGCTCAATATATGAGGGTCTCACCTAAAGTAATGTGAACATTTGCAAGTCAAGAGTTAAAACAGCAGTAGGAACCATGAAAGTACGAATTTCATGGACTTGGTACTTTAGCCTGGAGGCTGTATTATCCACTGAACTGTTTTTCTTTGTTTGCATTTACAGTTTGAGAGGTAGAGAGACAACCTGTTCTGAGTGTGACAAGGTGGACTTTCTCCCCCCAGCAAGTAAAGCACAGAGGTCATATTCATTAAGCTCCTGCTAGTTTAGTGACTGATTTAATAATGGCATAAATGCTGAACATTAGGCTCCTCTTTCAGAGAAATTCTATCCATTTAGAAACATAAAAAGCAGTAAATACAGCTGCTAAAAGCCTGGAAATTACCATTTTTTCAGTCTCAGCCTCTGCCTCTGATCTCTGCATAGAATTGGGCATGAAGAATATCTGACATGTCATAAAAGCAGGTGAGCTGGGCTGTGTAATTTGGCTACCCACCAGCACCACCATCACCTATGGACACAAGTACCATAACAAATTCCCAAGTCAGTGTCTTTACCTGGGGCTTTGATGCTTCTCCATCCCCATCAATACAAGGACTCAGGATCAGGGATGGGAACTCTTGGCCTTCCTGCTTTCGGGACTGTAGGCACTTCTGTTTCTGCCGGATGATTCCCTTCTGGAACAAGGACTCCTCAGGAATCCTAAAGGAAAGGCACAGAGAGATGATAGCTCCCTGCTTTTCAAGTCCAGGGGCTTTGTCTTACATAACTTAGGAGCAGGTAAGTTTAAGCACCACTGAGGGTTAGCATTCCCTAAGGCTTGAGGGATGTTCAAAGGGGAAATAAAAGAACCATAGGGAATAGCTAGGGAATAGAAAGGAGTTTGGAGGCCATCTAGTACAAACTCCTCTTTTTACAGATGAGGAAACTAAGAATCTGGGAAAGGTTATCTCATCCAAAAAATCATCCACATTTACATAGGCCATAAGTGTCCGAGGTAGGTTCTGAACCCAGGTCTTCTGCTTTCAGAGTCAATGTTCTTTCCACCGTACTCCACTTATAACAAAAAAAGAATATTTCAAGGCTAGGAAGGGCATTGGGGATCGTTAAGTCTATTCCCCTGCCCTAGGGTAACACTATAGCTAAACTGCCTTGGTCAAATACGAGTCTATCCTGTTTTAGGGATAGGAACTAAAGGGAACTTTAGAGAAAAGATTCTAGTCTCCCTCTAGTTACCCATTCCAGCATCTAAAAACATGGTAAAGAAACTCTTTCTTAGGTAGCTTAGAATTTGGTTCTAAATTAAACCCCCCATGTTATTATTTAAACAGCTTTCTTTCTCCACCCTCAATAGAAAGATTAATAGGTCACCTTTCATGTAAACGCTCATTATCTACTGTAAATAACAGCCATTATTAAGTTGCCTGTCAGCTTTAATTTATCCTAAGTAATTTAATAATCTTTAGCTGTTCCTTACAGATCCAACTTTTCAGTATTCAGATCTTCCCTGAGGCTCCCCTCTAGATTTCCTTCATGTTTTCTCTTCCCCTTTTGGGTAATGGCACTGATAAGAATTGTTGTTGTTGTTGTTCAGTCATTTTGGTTGTGTCTAACTGTCTGTGACCCCATTTGGGGTTTTCTTGGCAGAGATACTGGAGTGGTTTACCATTTCCTTCTCCAGCTCATTTTATAGATGAGGAAAACTACAGCAAACAGGGTTAAGTGACTTGCCCATGGTCATACAGCTAGTAAATATCAGAGACTGAATTTGAGCTCAGGTCTTTCTAACTTCAGGCCTGGCTCCTATCTGCTGACCACCTAGCTGCCCCATTGATAAGAATAAAAAGGATTTAAAGTGACTTCTAGGGCAGAGAGGTAAGGGCTTTGTCACAAAGTGACATTGTGGTGGGGGTGGAGGGGCATGCATCTTCCCAGGATCCCTCTGTAACTCTGTAAGCCTCTACTACCTTGCTCATCGCTGGCCAATGCTTCAGGGTCCCATCACTGTGCTGGCCTCTCTGCTAGGGCCCATATTTCTCCCAAACTTCTTTCGTAGCATAGGCTGAGTCCTTCCAGTACAACTACACCTGCCATTGGACTGTCTTCTGTATTTGCTTCCATATCCCCACCTCCAGCGACGGTTTTTGCCAAAGATTAAAAAAAAACTCCACTTAAATCTCTGAAAGGAAAGATGGATACCTGAGTTCTGGATAAACATTCTCCAGGTACCACTTGAAGGTATGGCACTTCAGACGCTTCCTCAGCTCCACTCGGCTTTGTATGCTGGGTTGTACAGAAGGGGGAAGAGGGGCAAGAAAATAGTCACTGTACGGAGATGGCTTTACAATAGTCTCAACTGCTGAGGATCTTGGAGGCATTTGTAGCTGAGGAAATCTGTGGAGGTTAGGGAACACAAGTGCTCACACTTAGTGCCCACCTCCCTCTGGCATCCTGAAGAACCGAACTAGAAAGAGAGGGTGAAATACAGTGCTCTATAGAGAGCTATAGAAACACTTAGTAACGTTGGGAACAGTCAGCTATAATAGCTCAGAGAACGTTATTTCACTTTGAGAGTAGCATCTGAGAGACAGCTTTCATTTTTGTTTGGAAAAAAAATAACAGCATTGTAACATTCAGTGTAATTTAATAGCTGTCATAGTATCATTGTTCAGAGCTGGAAGGGACCTTACAGGTAGGTTAACCAGTATAAGCCTATCTTCTCTGATGAGGAAAGTGAGGCCCAGAGAGGTTAAGCAATCTGTCTAAGCTTATATTGTTAGTGAGTAGCAGAGCCAGGATTTGAACCCAGGGCCTCTGACTTTGGAACTATTGCACCATGTTCTCTTGCTAGCACTATGGTTTCATCAGGGTGAGTACACCACATAAATCTCCGGACCTGTTTATGCCCCTGAAGACTGCTCCTTCAAGGTCAAATGAGCCTGTTCCCTGAAGCCACATTCTGGGATGGTTGTGACCCAAATCCCAAGGGCAGTTTGCCCCTACCTCATATTCCTAACCCCTAACTCCCATCAAGATGCTCTGGAATGGCCAAACAAGTTGTGGTACATGATTGTGATGGAATACTACTGTGCTATAAGAAATCATGAGCTCAATGATCTTAGAAAAACACGGATTGACTTGCACAAAATAATGAAGAGTGAAGTGAGCAGAACCAAGAGAACACTGCATACAGTAAGAACAATATTGTTTTAAGAACAACTTTGAGCAACTAAATTATTTTGACTATTATAAATACCCAAATTAACTACAAAGGACATATGAAGGAAAACACCATCTGTATCCAGGAAAAGAACTGATAAATAGAAATATGTACAGAATGGTTTTTGGGAGTGGGGGAAGAAGGAAGAAAAAAATAAGGAAAAAAGGAAAGTTGCATGATAACTTAACTATATATTTAAAAAGAATAACAATTTGCATGATTGCACATGTATGGCCTCTATCAAACTGCTTGTCTTCTCAATGAGGGATGGGGGTGGGCAGGGAAGAAGGGAAAGAATGTGGAACTCAAAGTTTTAAAAATGAATGCTAAAAATTGTTTTTTACATGTCACCGGGAAAAAATAAAATGCTAAATTGAAAAAGGAATAGCAAGTTGTACATAATAGATTTTCAGTTTCATGCGCAATCATCTTTTTTTCTATTCTGCTATGTTATAGAAATGCTTATTTATTTAAGTTCAGAATAAAATAAAGAAAAAATATAAAGAAAAAAAAAGATACTCTGCATGGAGTCCCAATAAAATGTTAAAACTCCTTGTGGACAGGAAGTGTTTTATTTTTGTGGTGGTGTATCTCCAGCACCTAGCACGGTGCCCGGCATTTATTAGAATCTTAATACATGGTTGTTGATGGATGGATTGTGGGGAGATGGCCAGTGATGCCTAGCCACTTCAGTGTGGTTGGTGAATGATCAAAAAAATCGAGTCAATTGCTGGACATGCTATAGTTGTTTGTGGTCCCAAGAAAAGAGCCTACCATTATCTTTCTTGGACTCTTTAAACTGAAGCACCTTATTAAGCACCCCTCTACTGTACCAGCTGACTGCTGACACTTATTAGCTACATAACTGTGGGCAAATCAATTGACCTCTCAGAGCCTCTGTCTCCTCATCTGTAAAATGGAGATAATAATATAGGCAAGACTGACCTCACAGGTATGTTGTGAAGCTCAAATAATATAAGACATGGAAAATGCTTTGCAAGCCTTAAAACCCAAATAAATGCCTATTTTATTATTATTTATCGTTATTATTTCTACTGTGACTACCATCTCCATTTATAACAGTCATTCTTTTCTTTTTTTTTGTTTGTTTTTAGGCAATTGGGGTTAAGTGACTTGCCCAGGGTCACACAGCTAGTAAGTGTCAAGTATTTGGTCCGAGGCCAAATTTGAACTCAGGTCCTCCTGACTTCAGGGCCGGTGCTCTATCCACTGCGCCACCTAGCAGCCCCTATAACAATCATTCTTCAAGAGAGGTCAGAAGCAGGGAGACAGGAATTTACCCGAGACCTGCACAGAATAGCACAGTGAGTTTAGGGGCAAAGTTAGGGCTTAGTTTTCTGAATTTGAAGCCACTCCCCTGTCTTTGGGTTACACTGTTTTACAGACAGAAGTTAACTTTGGCACAACACCCCATTACTCCCTAGCAGCTGAGTCACTGACTAATTTTGCTAAGAATGAATTATCCTCAACCAAGGTATTTTATCCGCTTCCTCTCCTTTCCCCGAATCCCTCAATACAACAAATGAACAGGGTGTTTCCCCTTTGAACCTAGCTTTAAAACAGGCAAGAAAGGACCTGATTTTAAGGCTGAACCTGGGTTGAAGCAAGAGAATTACACTACAGTTTAGGGCAGACTCAAGGGAAAAGGGCAACCTATGTGGAGAAGAGAAATTTAAATAAAAGAGATCAAAGTGGAAGGGGAATTAGGAGGGTCTTATGGTCTATCAACAAACAAATGGAAAGAAGCCATTTCTTAGGGATACTTCTTAACTTTAGAAAGATACAATTGTCATTAGGTTCCACTTCCATTTTCTGGGGCCTGGGTTGACCTAATAAAGAATCACTTAAGAGGTATACCCTGAGCACCTGTCTGCCCAGCACTGGGGGAGGCCCAAGACAAAGACTTTGTCTTGGAGGAACTTATATTCTAATTGGGGGGGATAGGACCATGACCTCTGGAAACAATTGTAGGACAAGACTTTAGAAGCTCTGAAGGGAGGTAGACTGAGGCTCTTTCCCATTTACCACCTACAGGTGACTTACTTTCCAAAAGGTCGTCCTTGGGCCACAGGTCTGGCGGCATAAAAGTAATGCTTGAATTCATCCATCCACACCTCTGCTGTACGCTTGGTATTCCTGGAAAAATAGAAGGAGGGCGGGCCATCAAGGAGAAGTTCATGGAATTTTCAGAAAAGGCCTGAGAGATCAACTTGTCCCATCTCCTCATTCTACAGAGGAGGAAACCAACCCTTCCCTCCCCCCCCAAAAAAATAAGTAGCTTGTCCAAGGTCACACACTAGTAGCCTTGAGCCTAGGTCTAAACCTGCCTCTGCTCATTCCCAATCCACTGACCTTTCCATTACACCACAGTGGGGCACTCAAAGGGACCATGGACATATCCAGCTTAGAAAAGAGGCTGAGATACTGTTGGCTGAACAACAGGCAAGTACTGCCTTGCTTTGCTGCCTCTAATCTTTCTACTGTATAGATACTAGACCCTGCCCAACTCAAAACAGAAAGCTTAAAGTCCTTAGATGATTTTCAAAACGAACATAAGATTTAGATGGTTTAAAATAACCCTCTCCGGATGTACTTCTCTCCCTTTTTTGCAGAGGCAGGGGGACTATGTGTGTGAAATATTCTATATACTGTCACACTCTGTTAGTATATTGGTTAGTTTTCTGAACTGTTTTTTCCTCTTCTTTCCTTTTTGTTTTTTTTCTTACAATGGGTGGTTCCCTGGATGGATTGAGGGAAAGAAGGATTCTGAAAAGGTGACATGATATTAATAATTTTGCTCAAAAGATCTGGGTAAAAAAATAACAAGTAACCCTTTTCTTAAAAGGTATATGCCAGACTGGGCTGGATGTATTTTTAGAGCCTAGCTTCTGCATTTGTGGAGACAGAACTGTGATGAAAGGGGATAAGTCAAGTTAATAAGCATTTATTAAGAGCCTGATATATGACTGATATTATGCTAAGCTCTAATGACACAAATAAAGGTAAAATCAATCCCTTCTACCAGCAGGATAACAGTCAAATGTAGGAGATAACATGCAAACAAAACTATGTACAAACAAGATATACTGCATACAGTATAAATTGAAGATACTCTCAAAAGGAAGGCATTAGCATTTAGAGGAATTGGAAAAGGTTTCTTGTAGAAGGTGGGATTTTAGCTGCTATTTGAAGGAAACCAGGGAGGCTAGGAGATGGAGACAAGGAGGCAGAGAATCCAGAATTGGAGGACATCTAGTAAAAATGCCTGGGGTCAGGAGATGGAAGGTCTTGTGTAAAAAAACAGCAAAGATACAAGAGTCACTAGACCTCAGAGTATGTAGGTCCAGGTGTAAGAATACTGGAAAGGTAGGAAGGGTCAGGTTATGAAGAGAGTTAAAAGCCAAAGGGGATTTTATATTTGATCCTGCAGGTGATAGGGAGTCACTGGAGTTTATCGAATAGAGAAGTAACATGATCAGACCTATGCTTTAGGGAGATAGATTTGACACTTGAGTGGAGGATGGACTGCAGTGGGGAGACACACCTGAGGCAGGAAGAACAGCCAGAAGGCTTCTGCAATATTCCAGGTGTAAAGTGATGAAGGCCTACACCAGAGTGGTGTCAATGTCAAAGGAAAGAAGGATATGTATAGGGAAGAGGTTATGAAGGTACAGATAACAGGATTTGGCAATATGGATATGGAGGGTAAGGGAGGCTGAGTGAATGGGAGGATGGACATTAAAAGGGAAATTTGGAAGAGGCTATGGCTTTGGGTAAAAGATAACAAATTTAGTTTTGGGCATGTTGAGTTTAAGACGTCTATGGGACACCCAATTTGAGATTCCAATAGACAGAGATTCAAGATTGAAGGTCAGTGGTTGGGGCTGGATCAAAAGAACTGAGAATATTTTGCTTAGAGATGATAATTACATCCACTGGAGGTGATGAAATCACCAAGTGAAGTTACATATATCTATATCTATATCTCTCTCTATCCATCTATCTATGGGGGGGATAAGAAATAGAGGACCCTGAAGAAAGTCTTGGGGGACACTCAAACAGCTAGCAGGCACAACCTGGAAAAAATCCAACAAAGGGGGCAAAGAAGTCAAGAAGAGAAAGTAAGTAGGGTAATCTGTCCCATTATTGGACTGAATTACTGCCAGTAGCAAGGGTGAAAAAAGAAAACTTTATCTCTTAAGGACCATGCTGCTGGCCTTTTCCCACTGCTTCTTTCTTCTCTAGTCACAATCCTTTCTGTCATGTTTTGTACAGCACATAAAGCCATTTCAAACAAGTAGCTAAACTTGTGATATTGGAAAAGAATAATTTTTAAGGACTGATGATCCAAGCTACAAACAGTTGAGCTAATCACACACGCAGTCTACTGTCCCTCAAGAAGCTTGGTTTATGGTTAAAATATTAAATAAGTCCTTCCAAGGGCTCTCTCCCCTCAGGTGCCACATGTTATCTCTTGGTATCTTTTCCTAGGCTGGCTGCTCATTCTCTCACACTCTCACATTCTCTCACACTCAGGAGGAAGAATTGGCATACTCTTCATTTTTTTTTTAGGCAATTGGGGTTAAGTGACTTGCCCAGGGTCACACAGCTAGTAAGTGTCAAGTGTTTAGTCTGAGACCGGATTTGAATTCAGGTCCTCCTGACTTCAGGGCCAGTGCTCTATCCACTGCGCCACCTAACTGCCCCTCATACTCTTCACTCTTGACCACTGCACCAGTAAATAATGACCTTCACCTTAGGCTGCACAGAACACTTTATTTATAGCTCATTTGTGTGCTTATCATGGTATATGTTGTGAAGGATTTGTTTATGTCCTGTCCCTCAGCTAGACTGTAAGGTTTATTCAGAGAAATATCTCATCATATCTAAACCTGGTGCTGTGTTCTACACTCAGTAAGCTTTTAAAATTATTGAATTGACAGCAGGGACTGTCTTAATTTTCTATTTGTACTCTCAGTGCTTAGCACAGTGTTTTTCACATAGAAAGTACTTAATAAATGCTTCATTCATTCATTGAATAGTTTTCTTGTTCATTCTTTCTCTCTCTCTTCCTCTCTTTTCCTCCCCTCCTTTCTTCTTTTCTTTTCTCTTCCTCCCTCATCCTCTGACTTTTCCTCTCTCCTCCCTCCTCCCTCCTCCCTCTCTCCTCTCTTCTTCTCTGTTTTTCTCTCCCTCTCTCTAGTGCTTCCAATATTGTTCCATTTTATTTTCCTAATTCTTAAAAACTGACTTCTCCTATACAGTCACATTGCTTCACATGTCCCCTATTAAAACAAGAGTGAAAAGTGAAGGACAAGGAAAGATAACCAAATGCAGAAGAACACAGCAAGAAGTGCGCTCCTAAGTAAACCTGAGTCCTAGCCCTAACCCTAACACAAGGGATGGGAGAGAAATAGGTAGAGGAGAAAGAGAGAGGAGAGAAACTAGAAAACAATGTGAGGAGAGGAAAGAACTAGGACAACAATAGAGAAAAAGCAGAACATTTTATTTTCCCATGGAGAATAGAAAAAAAAAGGACAGAGGAAAGACAGAAAAGAAATAATGGCAGCATTTAAAATATGAAGAATGAAGGAATCATCCTACTTGTGACTGTTGATCTCTCTATTCTTTCCATAGTTTTTCCCCAATAGAGGAAAAAGAAGTGATTCATGTTGGGGAGCAAAGTTTATAACAACTGACTACTGGTATCAGGGGTCTTGTTGTTAGGTGTTCACCCCTCTTTTTGATGCCCTTCATTTGGACAACTCTCTCCAGGATATTGTCCAAAGATAGGAACATGGAATATTCCAAAAAGCCATAGTACAAAAATCACAACTGGTCAAATCACTCACCAGGGAAAGAAATACAGTGAGGAGACTATCCAGTGACATATAGTCATTTCAGGCTTAAGTCAGGGCCTCTTCTCAAAGCCCAGAGAAACAAGTGGAAATTTCAGAATTTTTTTTTTATGAGCTAGAAAAAAATCTTATGTCATCTAGTGCAATTCTCTCATTTTCCTAATGAGCAACCTAAGACCTAAAGAGTTAAGGTTCCAATGTGCTTTCCACTACACCATGTTCATTTCTATTCTCAGACCCCAAAATAGTGGTTTCCTCCCCTCACATGCACAGATCCAGAGGCTAAGCAGTCAGTCCAGCCATCAAACTCATGGTCAACCTGGGAGGCTGCCATTCATAACCAAATCTGTGGGAAGACTACAGTCAATCAGTCAACAAGCAGTTAAGTACCTACTGGGAGTCAATCACTATCTTGAGTTAAACAGAAGATACTTTGTTGACCCCTTCCCATGAAGCATCCCCTCAAGAAGAGAACTCACTTTATGTAGGTGTTGAGGTTGCCTTCTGGAAACGTATAGGGATGCTTCTTCCGGAAGACATGCCCCACCCGGCTACAGGGGAGGATTTCCAGGCTGCCTCCACACATCCACACCCGGAAGGAAATTTCTGCAAGAAAGTCATGTCACCCTTTTTATTCTGTCTTCTCCAGAACTAAGAGTGATAAAAGAAGAGGAGCTGAGTCATGATTCCTATCAAGTGGTCCTTTTGCTTAGTCATGTGTATTGTGGCCTTTTTTTTCTGTACCAATAAAAATTGCAATAGCTGAAAGGTTTGTAAAGTACTTCATATGAATTATCTGATTTGATACTCATAAGAACCCTGTGAAATGGCTACCACAGGTATAATATCCATTTTACAGATGGGGAAACTGAGACTCAAAAAAGGTAAATGCCTTGCCCAGGGACATATAGGAAAGAAGGAAAGAAACAAGCTTTTATTAAGGTCTTAATATGTTCTGGACACTGTACTAAATGCTTTAGAAATATTATTTCATTTGATTCTTACAACAATCCTGGGAGGTAGGTGTTATTATTAGCCTCATTAAAAAAAAAAAAAGAAATGTACACATTATCCTCATTTTAAAACTGAGGAAACTGAGGCAGATAGAAGTTAAGTGACTAGCCCAGAGTCACACAGCTAGTAAAGTGTCTGAGGCTGGATTTGAACTCAGTGCTTTATTCTGAGTGATTGTTTAATAAATTCGCCTTCAGCACAAATAATACAATGGAAGTGGTCTTGTCTCACTCCTCATCCTTCTTGACTTTCCTACATTTTAAACTGTTCAACCCAGATCCATCATTCCCTGATGCTCTCCTGTCACTGTCAGGCCTTCCCTACTTTATCTTCACCAGATTCCCACCTCCAGTGCTCACAACAGTAACCAAGTCCTCAGCACTACCACTTCTGGAAAGGACATGTCAATCAACTACCCTATGGCTGCCATGTAAAACCACACTCACCATCCCTATGATTTCCCAGACCAAATCACTCCTTCCTGGCCACCACTTTCTTATCTTTATTGTCTTCTCTAATCAAAAATGTAAGTTTCCTGAGGGCAGGGACTGTTTCTACTTCTGAATTTTTATCTTCAGTGTTCTTGGAACATACTAAGTCCTTAATAAATGCTTATTCATTCACTCATTTATTGACCTTCCTCTTCTTCTGGCTATTTCCTCTTCCCTGAGTTTTGATGACTATTCTCTCCCGGTTCTCCTACCTGTCTAACCATATCTTTTCAATCTCCTTTGCTAACTTATCAATCACATCATGGCTCCTAATTGTGGTTATCTGTCTCTGTCCTAGACCCTCCTCTCCTCTCTCTGCACTTTCTTGGTGACCTTATCATTTCCCATAGGTACACTATTCAGATGACTTACAGATCTTTATATCAGTCTTTCCCTTGAACTTCAGTCTTACATCACCTACTTGACATTTTGAATTGAATGTCCCAGACATCTCAAACTAAATGTATCTAAAATAGAACTCATTGTCTCTCCCCTCCAACTCAGACCTCTTTAAAACTTCCCTATTAATGTGAAAGTATTATCATTCTTCCAGTCTCCCAAGCTTATAACCTAAGCATTATCCAGGACTCATCACATTCACTCACCTCACATACCTTATCACCTGCCAAATCTTGCTTTACCTTCACATCTTTACTCTTTGACCCCTTCTCTCTATTCTCATAGCAACCACTTTAGTTCCAAGTACTTAGGAGTAGATCTGACCATATCACTCCCCTACTCAGTAAACAACATTACCTTCCTATTATCTTTTGTATAAAATATGAACTCCTCTGTTTAGCTCTTAAAGCCTTTCACAACCTGGACCCAACCCATCTTTCCAACCTCTTTATACATCACTCCCTTTCCTACACTTTGAGATCCAGCCAATCTGACCTATTCACTCTCCCTCACACATGACACTCCATTTCTTGTCTCTGTGACTAGCCATCTCCCATGCCTGAATGTACTTCCTCCCTACCACATAGAACCCTTCCCTTCATTCAAAATGCAGTTCAAGTACTACCTTCTAAATAAGGGGTCATGAACCCCTTTGGCAGTTTGGTATAGTTTATAGACTCCTCAGAACAATACTTTTAAATGAATAAAATAAAGTACAACAGAGTACAAAAGAAACTAATTATATTGAAATACACTAATTAAAATTAACACACACACACACAAATTTACAGAACTGCTATTTTACTTATTTAGATTTTTTGGCTAGGCAATGGGGTTAAGTGACTCATGCAGGGTCACACAGCTAGTAAGTGTTAATGTGTCCGAGGCCAGATATGAACTCGGGTCCTCCTGAATTCAGGGCCAGTGCTCTATCCACTGTGCTACCTAGCTGCCCCTAGACCTGTTATTTTAAATGAATCCTTTCCTGATCCCCTATCTGATAATACCCTGTCTCTTAAGCTATCTTGTAGTTAACTATTTTAAAATCCATTATCTCATATTTATTCTGTATCCAGTTACATATGCATTTGTTGCCTCCGTGTTACAACGTAAGCTCTTTGTGACTAGGGATTGTTTCATTCTTTCTATTTATATTCCTATTACCTAGTGTAGTGCCTGGCACATAGTCGGCTTTTTGATTCATAGATGACATACAGTTACTGAATGTGGCTGATTGTTACCAGCGCTGTATCCCATATACCCCGGCATACACAAAACAGTTGTAGCTACAGATGAATATGAGGCATGATAGTAAATTCAGATGTTTGTGAAACTATCCCTCTGCTTCTTCAGTCTATAATTTTCCATCTTTTGTGACTTGTGTATATTTTTATTGCAATGATTATCGACTTGATTCAGGCAGCTCTTCTTTGCTGAATTATTGGAATGTCTGGGACACTTTGATAGTTTATGAGGACAGAGGGACAGATGATTTGAAATCCAGACTGTCCTGGAAAATCTGGGCCATATGGTCACCGCAGTCTTTCTGTTGAAGCATGTTCCCCTGCCTGGTGCTTGCAGGCCATGCTGAGAGTCACCTTGATCAGAGTCTAGGAGGGAATCAGGATTTGGCAGCTTAACGACTATAACAGGGACTTGAAGCCTCAAAGCTTTTGTCCAGGGGACTTCCCACCTGACACTTGTGTACCCAGCCGCATATTCTTCCTGGCTGGCTGCTGCTGAAAGAGGCTCTGGAGAGGCTGGCAAGGTTTAATTAGCAGAGCCAGCTGTGTCCAAGTTGGTGGGAGCATGAATCTTTCAGCGTTTCCCTTTCTGCCACAGGAAAATGTGTGAGAATCTTGCTTAATGGAATGAGTAAAGCATGATTCCCAGCCTTAGAGAAGGCCTCCCCTTGCCTTAGGGCTACCTGAGAGTTTTACTATACCCACTGCCCTTAGGACAGGGTCTTCTCCTGCCAGTCTCACAATGTAGCTAAGATGGTACATACTTCCATGTGGAAAGTGGGGATGGGGGTGGGGATGGGGGAAGAGAAGTCCCTCTATCATCAGTTTTCCCACCTTAAGGTTATGGACAATTACACTAGATCCTAGTTAAGAACACAAGATCTTGACAGGTTTCCAGTAACTGAGGATACTTTATATTTATAAGTATATACATATATGTGCGTGTGTGTGTGTGTATTTACAAGCCTTTATGTACTTACAACTAAATAAGATAAATACAAGATAGGTTCTGGAATTTTAATGCCTAGAGAATCAGAAAAAAGGTTATGGTACATTGTCCATGAATTAACCACTGGGCCCACATGAACAAGGCTACAACTGTTTCCCCCATGTGTTTGTGCAGAGATTCCCCCTCTCACCATCTTTATTGTTAAAGTTCTTTCCTTTCTTCAAAGCCCCTTTCAGGGCTTTGAATCCTTCTATGCCCTTTTGCCCAAGTGAGTATAATCTCTCACTTCCTTCATCAAATTGATTCATAGCACTTGGTCTAGACCTTTCTTCTTTGTGTTTACCTCACTGTTCCCTGAATCATAGCTGCTGGTGTGCATATCTTTTCTTCTACTACGATGTAAAATACTTGAAAATAGGGTCTGTACTGCGACCAGCTTTACATACCCAGTTGCTATCACAACGTGTTGCATATAGTTTGGGTTTTAAAATCTTTACTGAATTGAATCAAAAGGTTTTTAAGCCAACATCCTCCAAAGTCCACCAAAACCAATATAGATTTCCTGAGTTAACCCTATCTCCCAGTTACAGGGAAGGCATGCAAGGAATGTCCAGTGAGCAGTCCTAGCAGAAACATAAAACTCACAACCAAGGGAATGAAGCAGAGAATCACAAGACACTGGAAATGAGGCTCCTTAGAACATTAAGACCTGTAATGACTAGTTCTCAGTGAAGTCAGAACTGCAAAACTCTGATAAACCTCAGCAAAGGTAGGGGGTCCCTAGCTGCTTTTTATGGCTACCACCTCCCCATATAGTCTGTTCATTCTTCCATACACTTTACCCTTAGTAATAGTTGCACCTACTTATTGGTTTCCTTCAGAGCTCAGGTGTAATTAATGTAGTAATTTCCATAGATGTCTAATCTTCCCTTAAGGATGATGAGACTTAGAACAGCTGAGGACTTGGCAACATCAGCACCATGGACAGAGGTTTGCATTTGGCTTAGTCTTCTAATAGCTTTCACTCATATTTCTATTTTTATTCTCACCCAAATGGTCTCTTTCTTGCTTTTTAAGCTCAGGTTCATGGATTGTCAGGTGTATAGTTACTTGGCACATAACGCTGCTTTTCTACCTCTCCATCATATCTATTTCTTTTGAAAAAAAGGTATAGCTTCCATTATCATTTTCCAGGAATAAGTCCCATCTCACCAACTTTTGGTGATGACTGTGAAGTTGTATTTACATTCTTGTGTTAAAATTTCAAGTTGTCTTTGCTTACTGATCAACTTCTGTACAATGGTATATAGACAAATGAGGCCATCAGTGTTTTTCCTACAAATAATTTGCTTTTATTTTCTCCTGCAAATTACTGAGGCACTCCTCCAATGCTTATATCTCTATCTCCATCTATCTAATTAAAACATATATTTACATAACATATATGTATTTAAATATAACTATATTAAATACATGGGTATTTATATAACATGTATATTTGATATATTG